CAAGTGGCGAATCCGCAGTTTTGGGGGGATGATCGTGGCTGCTGCTTCTCTTTTCTCCCGTGAGAAGAGAGGCCCCCAGGAAGCCACGGAAGACGGTAGACAGCACCTGGGGCCTGCTTGTTCGCGGCGCTGCTGCACCGTTAAACTCAGACCTTTCAGGGGTGGCACGCGAGGCCTCCTTACCCTGCAGCTACGGTGACCCGACATCCTGGTTTGCCCGGGAGCGGGAGTTTCTGCGCAAACCAGGACGCCCAGAATCCAGCCATCCGGCCGCCCTTCCAGCAGCTGCCGGACAAGAAAACAGAGAATGATCTGCTCAGCTTTTCTCTCTACTATTTTACATCTATTTTAAATCTACTAAGCAGATTTTTGACTCTACTTCCGGATGGAATCAGGTGTGTTAATCAAAGTGTAATTTTTTGGATAAAGTATAAGTACTTTCAATTTCGCATATTTCTTTTAGCCATTAGCATGGATTCTAATCAAAAGATGGTAGAGCATGTACCGTAAGCTCAACAGACGGAGTTAACGTGAAGTGTCCTCGCAGCCCAGAATGACATTGTGTCTGTCATATATTTTCTTTGTGAACAAACTCGAGTTAAAAATAATTTCTTCCAAATTTTCAGAATATTTAAACAGCCGCGAAAATCTACAGCTAGTAAGGGGAATAGATAGCACGTAGATAAATTTAATGTGTCAGAGATGAGGAACTCTCTTTTAGACTTTCTTTCAGCATCTGCCCACTGAGCGTTTTTTTCCTTAAAAAAATTATTTCAGTTCTCTTTTTTTGGGCCTTTATTTCTTCCTGGTGAAGGGCTGATAACTGTCTAAAAGGCAGGTAACAGATAAAAGGAAAAAGTAAATTTTTTCGATCCTAGAATCATCCACTTAGTCATGGCAAGCGTCAAAGCAATCCCAGCCGCTCTGTGACCATGTCCCCAGCGAAGGGGTAGGGCGCGTGATGTGTCAAGAGTGACAATTCAAATGGAAAAGTATTTGCTAGTGGTTTCCTTCTTAAAATAAAGTGGAGAAGATTCAAAGCTCACAATCCACAAGTCTGTCGGGAGAAACTGGTCACAGCCAACACCCATGGGGTGCTACTGTGTTCCAGGCGCTATTTTAAGGACTTTGCGCCTATCAGCTTATTTTTTGGGTGAGGAAACTGAGAGTCTTCGCTTTTATTAATCACTGTATTGCCATTTCACAGGCTATAATGCAATCAGATGCAAAAGACTTGATACAGACTCAGTCGGCGAGGGCTGTATTTTGAGTCATGGCCAAAGCAAAAAAGAACGACTTTCGTTTGTAATAAGACACAGAAACAGGAAGTGGCTGTTCCCAGACAGCGGGTGCGACAGCAGTACGGGAGGCTGGAAAGAGGATCCAGGCCACGGAGGTTAATTTTACTG